CCGTGAGTCATACCACCGCAGAACGGATGCAGTCGCGGGGAGGAGTTGCAACACTCCCCGCGACTGCATCCGTTCTGCGGTGGTATGACTCACGGCAAATTGCAGCCGCGGCGCGCACTTGATTGTACGCACTGTACATATCTCGCAGGATAGGAAGGCCCGCTTAGGGGAGAAGTTCTGTGCAAGGATAACTTTTGGTTCTTCGGAGAAGAGCTTTCCGTAATGAATAGAATCAGGCTGTATTCAATTTCGGATAGCATTTTGATGTTGTGAGTACTGCTTTTCATGTTTTTTTAAGCATCTTCATAAAATTCCCGGATATTGCATTTTTATAGGTCGCAGCATCCTCAAATCCCACCCGCTTATCCTTCATAATCATCATCACATCGCATTCGACTCTTACTGCGTCCGTGCGTCAAGTAAAAATCAATGAAACGACGTTAATATTAGGGATCAGTGCTATGTGGTAGTCTGTATACAGACAGCCTTTGGTGAGGACTTTCGTGGAATTCCCCCGATATCCGCGCAGTCGCAGTAGAGAACTTAGGATATGTCTGTGTACTTACTACTCAACATTCATATTCATCATGTGGTATCATTTGATGCTGCTTGACTTGTGAAATTAAAACAGAGTCATTAAATAACAGGCATCAGTCATCATGATCAGCTCAGAAGCTCCCTGTGATTTGAGAAACTGTAACTGGAGACTGGAATAATTTTTATGAGAATCGCATGACCCATATGAATTTGCTTGAACTGAAAGGGTGTTTGTTAATGTGTTTTGTTTCTTTAAGTTCTTTCATTAGTCTGATTATAAACGTGTGGGAATTTGGAAATCGCGAATGACAGGCCCCATGTGAGATAGTTACCGACTACTATTACAGTGTTTAGTTTGAAGAAGTGAGCCCTTGAAAGTCATTGTTGTAGGAAGTCTGTTTTAGTCATCAAGTGTGTTTATTATTTGCTTGTACTTGTGGCGGCTGTCCGATACTTTTGTTGTTGTAGTTTAAGGTCTTGAGATGAAGCACAAGCGAATTGACCCATCAAGACGGAACTAAGGTAGAGAAATGTGGCAACGTAACAGGTTTTATGAAAAGTTCAACTAAGCATCGTCTTCCTAGATGGAATTTAGACTCGGGGTTTAGCATTCTTGCGGTCTAAGATCAGCGTACATACACAACCACACATCCTGCGGCCCGAACACCGTCATGAGCTGTTCACCATCCTCTGAGTAATAAAACATTGCAGCAGATTACACGTTTTATATTTATTTGTAGTTTCCTAACGACGCCGTCAGAATCTCATGCTGTAGAGCGTCGAATGAGCGAATGGTAGTAAATATTAAGTAAGAAAAGATTCGTAAGAAATAAGTTGCGGAGTAACTTAAAGTATGATACCAGAATTTTCCTAGATGGACTGAGGAAAAAACACAAAACCCCCAGGATTAGTCGATATTCCAGGGAGAATTGAACCGGAGACCTCGAGAATACAGTGGTGTCACTTGAAACAATTTGTTTGGTGTCCCGCATCGCGAACTGTGTGTGTGTGTGTGTGTGTGTAATTGTTTTTTGTAAGGGAACAGCAGCTGTGCATATTCCTGCTCATGCCTGACATGTGTATTTTATGTAGAAGTTTCATACTGACATGTAGCATTTCGATGTGCCTCTTTCCAAAACAGCTATTTACTCTAGAAACATCGAAATGTAATATTCGGTTCGTCTCCTTTAAAACCATAACATGGGAAGCATTTCAAAGAAATCTTGTAATACGCAACAAAACAGGTCAAATATGTAATTGTATTAATAAACACTTCCACAGTTACTTTAAGAAAAAGTACGTTTGTCCCTGGGCTTAAATACGCATCACGCCATGAAGACGTGGCGGCGTAGAGTTGTGGCTCCACGCATTCCTGACCATAGCATTAGATGGATACGAGTGGTCAACTTCATGCCCCAGCAGCTTTACCCCCGGGGGACTGGGAGGGTGCCAGAGCCCTCTGATAATGTAAGGAAAGAATGTTGAAGGATGCTCTCGTGGCTGAATTTAAGGTAGTATTTCAGCATTTAACTGGATGGACTTAGGAAAACCACGAAAATGAAGACCTAGTGTTTATAAAGGAGATAGTTCTAAGCATTAACTCTCTCAGCTGTAGGGTTCGTTAGGACCTGATAACCCGTTCTTGCGCAGAAGTGGCTTTAGCCTCTCACGATGTACTGAACTTCACAAGCGAATTCAGTATAATGACATGTACTGCTGCAAAACAATGAGCTGAAGGTTTATAGCCCACTTTGCCAGAGCATAATGTTTTCCTCTGAAGCTGGTGTAGGAGATATGAGCAACGCCAGGGACTTATGGACCATTTCTCAAAACAGTTTTGTGTTCTACTGTCTGGAGCTCAGGCGCTTCCGGAGAGACATGAACTGGATAGTTTGCTCTGCATTGAACATACTCTTGAAACTTTTCTATGTCTCTAAATGTTCTGACCGCCTCTGTGGTCTAGTGGCCAGAGTTCCTGCCTACAGATTCAGAGGTCCCGAGTTCAATTCCCGGCGCTGCCAGCTTTTCTGAGAAGTAGTGGATCTGCAACGGGGTCCACTCATCCTCGTGAGGATAATTGATTAGCTATTTCAAGGAAATAGCGGCTCCGGTCTAGAAAACCGAGATTAATGGCCGTGGGGATCCGTTTTGCTGATCACGTGACACCCTCTATCCGCTAAAGTTGGCACAGACTTCGCCGACAAGCGGCGTTCGCTCGGTCGGTACAGTTCGCTTGAGGACTAAAGACACGGAGTTTGGTTGTTTTGTTTGTAGTAAATGTTCTTGGCGTAGAAGTAAAGGAACACTTCAATCAGGATAGCAGGTCTTCTTATACGAAAAGTCGTGCTCACCACCGTACGCAGATGTTCAGTTTATAATCCATCAAAACATTCGGCATAACTCCTGCAATGGCCGTTCCTAAGGCGTCTACATAGGACAGATAACATGGGAGTAGGTTAGTGTAGCGGTGGCGCTCTAGACTTGTATTCGAAAGGTGTTCGATCCGAATTTCAGCTGGGACACCGGCTGTTCTGACTGATTTTTGTGGTTTTATGTCGTCACCCTAGATAAATGTCGAGGTAGTATATTTAAATAGGCCACGACCGCTTCATATGCAAATCCCTTCGAATTTTTCAGTCATCCTGTTATTCGACTTCACTTAGCCTAGCTACTGAGAGCGTTCATAAATATAAACTACAGAAATTGACAGGTGTGGTCCCCAAGTGGGATTGTGACCCGCCTGCGCGTAGACCAAGCTACCACTGTGATCGGCTGTGTAGGGAACGGTACTGTTGATCCTGTTAACGTGATCAGTGGCCATTCGCCCTCGATTTCCCAGGCCATATTACGATAAACTTTTGAACTTATTGTGTATTCCATAATGCGAATATTCCTTACCTCCAAAGTAAATCTCTGTATTATTCACAACGCAAGTAGCAAGCCTGTAATTTTCTTTCTTCTCAGGGAAGAAACGATTGTATGGCAGGAAGGCTCGACGACTAACAGTAAGAGGAAACAGTACATGTAGGTCTGCTGTTCTACTGTCTAGTTACTGCACTAGGCGAAGTGTTCTAATGCGCTCAGAATAAAATCTTCGCTTCATAACACTACTACATGAGGCTGATTTCATACCAGGCTGNACCTACCTACCTACCTACGTGCAACCATCCATCCATCCATCCATCTTTCCGTCCGTCCGTCATATCTATCTATGTATCTGCCTGTCCGTCCATATGTCCGTCCATCTACCCGTGTCTGTCTCAGTCGGTCATGTATTTATATACTCGTATCTGTCGGTTGGTCGGTCCGCCTTCTATGATTTATCTAATTTATGTCTTTCGACGCTAACCACTAGCCCTTTCATTTCATGTTGTTCCAGATATTTTAAGACACATGAATTTTAGTGAAGTCTGTCTTTTGAGTTTATCGTTCAAATGATTTGTACGCAACAACATAGCATATAGAGCTCGTGAAGTGTTATCTGTAACGTTAGTGTAGATTTCGTGAATATGTAAGGGAATGGAGGGAAACGGATCGGAGGTTCTCACGGTGGTGCGTTCTGAAGCCGTCTCCATGTTCACGGTGAAGAGTAAGCCAAGCGAGAAATCCGCAGAACCTCCTGTAGCTGCTGGTTCTGCTACTTTGCAACCCAGAAGAGCATACTGTTCAAAGGAAACACGTTTTGTGGCGATGTACAGTGCGTTTTATGTATATTGAGTTCAGATTTGCAAGAACAGACATGTGAAATTATACAGGATGTCCCAAGAGGAAAGGTCTATATTCTGGTAGGTCATATATCGGTCAGTCTAAGAAAAAAAATATAATTTACAAGTGTTCTCTTCCGAACGGTTTCCGAGATACAGCTGTTTCACTGTACACTGACAGACGAGCAACACGCCATGTCCTCACACGAGTTGCAAAATGCGTTGATGTTGACGGTGAAATTTTCGAAAATGGATTATGCTGGGTACACTGTACTAACTTCGTCACTTGAACAATAAATACGGGTATTAGATTCAGTGCGTAATATCTTTCTTATCAAGAGTTTTGGAACTGTACAGTGAAAATAGCTCTATCTCAGAAACGGTCGGAGTACGACACATGTACATATACGTACAATGTTTTGCTTGTAATGGCCGATACTGCGACCTCCCAGAATAATGACCTTTCCTCCTGGAACACCTTGTGTATGTATCTGTAATAAGTGAATATAGAAATTATCGAGATAGCAATAGTACAAAGAACACATTTGGAAAGTGTGTGCAGTATAATAGACTACCACCTTCTAGTATTGTTTGAACTATTGTACACACTTCTGGCTGTGTATCCTTACAATTGACGAAATGTGCAGACCAGGAGCTTTCTAAACCACCTTCATTTCGACAGCTTACAGGGTATAGTATACGAATTAATCCAGGTAAAGCAGCAAGCACCTAACTTTATCTCAATATGTGTCTTTGCAGGTGATGCTACCTCAAAACATGGCCACCATACTGACATTGGCCGCCTTACAAGACCAGCAGACGAAGGCTGGGGGCTCTGCCCCTTCACACCATGGAGCTCCACCACACCCTGGGGGTTCCACATCCCCTTCATCAGGGTTAGTCATAATGGATCCCACCAAAGGCGGTGAGTTTGGACATTAAACTTCTCTGACTTTGTCGGATTGTTACAGTAGGTTTGTAGTTGTTATAACATTCTATTATTGGTATTTGGCTTTCTTTCAGCGGCTTTTAGTTAAGAACGACTTACGGACTGGAAATTACTACTGATCCTAATTCATCCTCTGCCGCCTATGTGGTAGATGATCTTGAGTGTAGGAGCAGAAAGGGTAGTTTGAGATTAAGGGGGCTTTTGAGGTCGGTAGTGCTCATCATCATCTTTTGTGAAAAGGCAAAGTTCTTGTGCTTGCTTAATTAAGCACCGTTCTGAGGGTGAGTGGAGGTGTAGCTGCACGTTCCCAACCTGCAACCCACGTTCCCAAGATTACTGGACCCTGAGAAAATGAGTACTATAATTCTTCTTGGGGGATAAAGGGCGGCCGGCGCGTAAGGCCGACAACCTTACCGCCATCTATGAGCCGATTGTGTAGAGAAAATGTTGGAGCCTCGAGGTCTTACAACCCTGTGGGCCTTCACCGCCTGCTACAGGGATAGCTTTACTTTTTTTTTTTTTTTACCTTTTACTAGAAGAAATTCAGTCTTTATGGGGTTAGTGAATATGGAGCAGTTGGGGTAATGAGAATTTGTAAGAAAAACAGAAGTACTTGGAGAACACCTGGCCCAGTGCAGTTTTTTCCACAGCGAACTCCATATAACCTGACCTGGTATTGAACCCGAGCCGCCTACACGCTGTTGTAACCCAGAAAACCACAGTATGAATTTCTTAGTGAAAAACCTCAAATCTCATATCCTAATGCTGTTTGAGAGCGATGGAGCTCAAGCACCAGAAACCTAAGCGTATCTGCTCCGGTCGGGACTCAGCCCAGTGCGTCTACACTAGGCCTACGTGTCATACATTCTGTGATTTTTCTTGGAAACTGTACCTTATAGTCAGTAGGGTTTAAAGCCGCTTGACGAAAGAAGAGTTAGATGAACATCCAACTTTTAATTTATCTTGAGCAGCTATCAGTATCTTTAATGCATCTGTAATCACGATTCCTCAAACACACTGTGTTTCTAGCCACGATAAATAAACTAGATGGCTAACCTTGTAAAAATTTAAATTGGTCCTCCCGCTTGCTCCTTATTTTCCAATCTGTGACGAGGGACAGTTACTGTGTGTATGTATATGTTAATTTACTCTAAATCCCGCCCTATTTCCCCCCCCCCCTCCCCCGCCATTCAACTCGTTGATGGCTTCCCCGTCTTGAAAAATATGGTGGGGTTTGTTCTCTCAAGTATACGTCTTGACTGCCATTTATATCAATCAACTCTGTTTTATTCCACATTAGAAGCCATTGAAACGAGAGGAACATATAGCGAGGCTCGGCGGGCAAGATGGACACAATGTATTGCAGTCATCACTTACGTTCAGGTCGTATTGAATTATACGTTGTTATAGTCATCCCGCCGTGTCGATTAATCAAGCTCTGATGTCACTAGTCTTCAAGAATGTGTGTTACAAGGATACTGAAGCTATCATTCAAAGTCATTGAAATACTAATTTCATTATTATTCCCCCCCCCAAGAAACAAACTGTTGGAATACAGAGTTTTTTTACACCTTGTAGTTACTATAGGATTCTGACGATGGTGTATAACACACTGATATACTGGGTTTTTGGACTTCCAAAATTACTGGATTACTTTCGTCCAGCTCTTTCTAACGGACCCAACAGAATAGGTGTTTTCCTTCACCTGAGGACGGAAACAGATCCAGTTTCCGAAACGTCGTGTTTTTATTAGTTATCTTAAAAACCAGGACGATGGATAAAGTCCAAAAACCCAATATATTAGTTTTTACACCTTGTTAAATTTACAGCACGAAGTATTGTAATTCTTCGAGCCCAGTAGATAGAGAACGTTGTAATGATCTTTATAGTTACGGTTGGTTATTGTTGTTGCTGTTACAAACAACTTACAGGATGATATCCATAATGACAAACCACGCATGCGCGTACACATATATCCCGTACGCTTGCGTACTAGATTAATTCCATTTCGTACAGCCTGAATGGCAGTCTGGTATGAGTCTGGTAAGATTAGTGAATTTTTGATTTGGAAAGGATGTGCAAAGAATCAGCCATACCTCAATTTAAGGACTTAGAAATTTTTCTAGAGGCACTGAGAAAAGCCACCAGATTCCTCGGTTAGGATAAGCGGTTTCCAGATCGAGATTTAACCCCCTGTATATATATATACCTACCTGTTCGCGTGGTCGCTGAAGTCCGCCCAATCTCGGGACCAGTTATTCACAGAATCCCATCATTGGACTATGCCTGGAGCTAGCTGAATCCTTACCTTCGTATCTTAATTCTCCAAATTCCTTTGTTTACTCTCATATACGCAGAGGGATAGCGCAGTCGGTAAAGCGACTAGCTACTGGCTCGAGTCCCGGTAGGGTCAAGAATTTACTTCATGTTGTCCAGATCGGCTCTGGGGTCCACCCAACTTCCTATCCAACTGGTGCCGTGGGCTCTTTCCCGGGGGTAAAGCGGCCTGAGCGTGAAGCTGAGTACTCAGCTCCAGCTAGTTCCGAGATCAAGAAAATGCGGATCCATACATCCACTTCCCCATACGCACAGGGACAACTTTACCTTATCATGTTCGCAGTCTGTATGAGAAAGTAATGTGATTGCCTAGAGATCTTGGCGAATTCACACGTTCTGAGACCTCCGAACACGAGAACGCTTTAGGCCAGCTCTCTGCCTGGTATGTATGTAATTGCGTTCGGATGTGAGGTACTCTAGCGTCTGAACAGTTTATTCACATTCGGTACTCAAGAGTTTATTCATTATATGTCGGCGCCTGCTGAATATAAACATTCCGTTTCCAAAAATTGTGGTCCTTTAGATGGGTTCAGAAACACAAAATGGCGATTTTATAGAAGACTGCTCCAACGATTGGTTTCACCAATTTGGACCATTTCCCAAAATAAAACAGCATAGGCAGTATCTTCGGGAACATAACGATACTCGAACTAGGGACTCAAAGTCGAAATGTCGATTTGTTGAAACTGCCTTTAACTCTCAGGCCGATTTAATTGTTAATCTGTATTCAGCAGCTTGCAGTATTTCCCCCCCCCCCTTGGTACTACAGCCCCAGTGGGCCTATGCGTACCTCCATGAACTTCTCCCTTCACTTCGGTTTCTCTACATCTTACACATTCGGTAGGACTCCTTGGGCGGGTGATCAGCTCGTCGCAAGGCCTCTACCTGTACATAAACACAGAAAAACGCACACACACAAACTAAACATCCATACCCTGAGTTGGATTCGAACCCACGATCCCGGTTTCCAAGCGAGCGAAGACAGTACATGCCTTGCAGTGGTTTACCATGCAACAATTTCTTTTCTAAGGTAACGTAATCGAGGTCACTCGTATATGAGAAAGTATGTACAGTATGTGCACCGAATTTTAGTGTTGCCCTCTCTTCTACGCCTAGGTCTTCCAAGTGGCTGTTTCCTTAAAATTATTTAATTGAGATCCATATGTATGCTTTAGGTTCCGTCGCGAATTAAAGTACTCGAGAATATTAGACGAATAACACAAAAAGCTCCTTATTTCAGTTTTTCGTAGCCCCTGGTATTCCTCTGAAGGCTTCTCTAAGGCTTCTTAGACACTTTCTGTGTAAAGCCTTCCCGCACAGTAAGAGAAGTGTCGTTCCCATAAAATGTCAGGTAGAATTTAGGTGTGTAGATATTATGGGGTGAGCTAAATCGTCCTGGGATGCAACATTTCCTACAGGGGACTGTTTCAGTGATATGAACATAACTTTCATTCGTCTCTTCATAAAATGCAAATGATTACCAAGTGATGCTGGAATTACTACTTGCCGTGGCGTAGGCCGTTGATAAACGACGAGCCTCGCTGCGAGGAGAGAAACTTCTGTTCCTCGTTTTCAAGAGAACTGCCTTGTACCCGGAAGGACCTTCCCCACATTTCCCATGGAAATTTTCCACAACACTGATTTACATATAATCGCAGTTTATAATCAAGAACATTTTTGTTATCCATTAATTATCGTAAAGCATTCAGTTTAGTTATTTTCTCAACATAGGCAGATATAGTTAAAATATTTCTTTTATTGCTAGGGGGGTGGGAAGGTCCCTTGTACTGCGGCCACTTCTGGGCTATTGTACCAGCCCCAGATGATAGGTGACTGTGATTGTGGAGCAATTGGAATGAAGATTGGCAGGGGAAACCGACGTACTCGGAGAAAACCTGGCCCAGCGCCACTTTGTCCACCACAAATCCCACTTGACCAGAACCGGGATCGAACCCGGGCCGCCGCGGTGGAAAGCTAGCGACTAACCGCTTGAGCTCTGGCGCGGCCCTACAGTTAAGGTAAGACCTAGAGCACACATGCAGTTTTTAGTTGGCCGATATTTGTGCACGACCGTGGAGGCCCAACGACTGTTGAGGGACGTGCGCACACGTACAATTTGGAGTTCTCCACAGCTACGCCAATGGTCAGTCGGTCAGTAGCAGCATGGATGTGTACGGTACAGCAGTAGTATGTGCAATATTGTTAAGATTAAAGGAAGAAAGGAAGCGGCAATATTGGGTTCACCCTATTTATAGCGAACGTCTGTTAAAAGGAAAATTTTACACACTGTACCGTGAACTGAAACAATAAGTAAAGTAGAGCTATCCCTGTACCAGGCCGTGAAGGCCCATAGGGTTGTGAGACGTTGAGGCTCCCACATTATCTAGACAATCTGCTGAAAGATGGCGGTAAGGTTGTCAGCCTTACGCGCCGGCCGCGCTTTACTCCTCAGGAAAATTATTTAATTAATTTCTGGTATTCATTTCTGTTAGAAGAATACCCATAAAATTCTTCAGTTATTGCAGAATGAGTGTTGATAGTTTTGATGAATTGTTGCTTCTCCTGAAACCTCATATCTTTTACAAGAATCCAGGATGGCGATTGGCTCTACCATCCGAAGAAAGACTTCATTGTAACAC